CAGTACAGACTCAGTGAGCTCAGTGTAGACTCAGCAAGCTCAGTACAGACTCAATGAGCTCAGTGCAGACTCAATAAACTCGGTACAGACTCAACAAGCTCAGTGCAGATCTAGTAAGTTCAGTACAGACTCAGTAAGCTCAATACAGATTCGGCATACTCCGCAGTAGACTTAACATCACATCCAACAGCATACTCAATAATAAACTCAATATCAAATTCAGCGACATACTCAGTTATGCACTTCGTGACAAACTCAATTTTCCAATAGACTCAATTTATCCGCAGACCCTTTCTGAACTCGGTCGACTCATTCTAAACATAGCAGACCTTTTTTCTTCCAGTTCCAGTAAGTTCAGTGAGATCAGTTTCATCTCTTCACGTTCAGTTCAGTTTCCAGTAAGTTCAAAGAGATCAGTCTCATCTCTTCAAGTTCAGTTCAGTTCCGGTAAGTTCAGTGATATCATTTTTAGTTTCATCTCTTTGTGTTCAATTCAGCTTCAGTTAATTCATTTCAGATTCAAAGAGATGAGATTTGCTTCAATGAATTCTTTTCAGATTCAAAAAGGTCAGACCAGTGTCAGTGAGTTCAGATAAAGGAAAAATTTATCAATAATCTTAATTTACTCTCAGCAAATCTCATTCTCGGGGGATATAACGCTGGTCACAGCGGGCAGTTTCGGTGCCAGTAGCGGTAGTGCTGGCCACAACGGAAGGTCTTAGTGGTAGCAGCGACGATGCTTGTCACAGAGGGCAGTTCCGGTGACAGCACCAAAAACACTGGCCATAGCGAGAGGTCCCGGTGCTAGCAGCAACGATGCTGGTCACTGCAGGCAATCCCGAAGACAGCGGCAATAACGCTGGTCATAGCGGGCTTTCCTGGTGACAGCAGCAACTGTTATGTCGCAGCAAGTGTTCTCGGTAACGCCAGTGTACAGCAAGACTGATTAGGTGATAAGTGAGCAACTTTATAATCAGCGAGCATCTGAGTATAACAGACTTATTGTATATTACAAACATATGGAAAAAAACATAGTCAAGACTTGAGTAAACTCACCAGATACATACCGCAGCAGATTTTCTCAAGATGTACTTGGACGTGGTGTCTGATGCTCTGAGAGGTCGAGATTGACGTTGAAAGTGAGAGAGGACAGTGAGGGCACAGACACGGAGCATTGACCATGTCCTTGTCATTGTACTCATGAGATGATACGAGCTCTCACTTTTCCCTCATTCATCTTGTCTTTGCCTTTGTCAGTCAGTCTTGATTATCTCTTCTGGCATTACTTGATGATTGTATTTCCTTGTTGAACATGTCACAGTTCTCAATCCCCTAAATTGGCATCTTGTTACACACAAGGCATATTTAATTTAATTTTTATTCTCTGCATTATCATTGTTGTTTTGAATCACAATTAAAAATTCCTAAGACCGGGGTCCGGCGAAGACCGCAATTGAAGGGTCTCGCTCGAAGCTGGACGCACACAACAGGAAGGGATTTGCATTATTTAATTTATTCTATTTATTGCAACCACATACAAAATCCTGCATGACAGCCTGTTGGCTTTCCGGTCGCCCAAAGTGGCTCGACTGGAAAAAGTGAGACAGCGGTCCGTTGAACATTATTCAATGGGAAGATCCCCTTGAATCGTTCAACATGGTTTCGACGGGGGCCCCGAGCTTGTGCAGTTCCATGCACATGAAGTGCCCCTGATGTATTCCGTGCAGAGGGTTCTATACTATTGTTGATGTAGATCTGGGCTTTCTAAATATCGGCCTTAGTCGTGGGCTGGTCGCTGCAATTGAGGCCATCCATGCATGCATGTCGTCTGAACCAGTCACAAAAACTTCATAGTGCTCCGCAATCTAGGCCGTCAATGCATGCAAACAGCCATATCACGGGACCGTCTTGACCTTTTATGATCGGTCCTGAATCTGCACCAGATTAGGTCATTACAAGATTTAGGGATTTCTAAAGTATTGTACATTATGTTGCAGCGTCCTTAACATCCCATGTCAAAAGATACTTGCTGTAGATGACAGTCTGTTTGATAAGAATATTCTGCCATGACCTAATCTTCTTATGCAGCAGTGAAAATGTAATGAAACTATGAAAGAGTAATGCACCAAGCCTCTTAAGCGAAATGTCAGGTAATACATGACCAGCCTCTTCAATTATTACTTAAGCAATCAATAATTGCTTCCACAGAAGCACACTCAAAAATTATTCAATACTTTAGGAGCACTCTCAAAAATTGTTTGCACCAGGTCCGCCATCCACAAAAGATACAAAACATGCAGCTGGCCATTTGCACGAGTGGACGCATTCGACAGGGCTACCCCCCAAATGGACCAGTTGTGGCCTTCGGTCTTATCTATTTGATGCTCGAGGTTGGCCCCACAAGATTGACCACCGGATCTGACTGGATACAGCAGGTTCTCACCCTCAAACAGGCTACCTAAGAACCAGCTCAGCCAGAGAGGCACGCCCGAAGCTCCATTCATTATGTTGAGAGTTGTGGAGATCAGTGCGGCTACTACGGCAAGTATGCCATTGTGTAGAAAACTCTCTATCTTTAAGGATCCCAGACCCAACACCACGGCAGCGACCCACCATACGACTCCAAAACAAGAAAAAGAAGAACAAGATGTGATATATACTGTCTGCATGGGGTTGCTCCAACGCCCACACACATCATACCTCAGCACACCCAGCAAAACAAAATTCGGGACTGCAGAGCAAATTATGCGGCAAGAGAAACCTCAGTGGCGGCATCAACCCTGTGACCACCCTGCAACTAATGCACTGTAGTGCTTACCACAATGAAAACTTCGTCCACACCATACAAATCAGACTCCAGCCGAGAATTCCTCCAGCGCCACTGCGACAAATTGCCACTCAACCATGATGAATCAGCATCTCACATGACTGAAACATCAATGCAAACAATAACAGAGAGCTTCACAGCATGTACTCCACTGGCCATGGGCCACACATTCTATTGCCGAAGCTCTTGGACAAACCAGTAGTCAAGTGCAAAGCAAAGACGAAAGAGGGCTACCGAAACCACTGGGAGGGCTTTCATCTCTCTGCCATCCTCTCTTGCAATTTCCCTAACAGAAACTGATCAGAATGTACATGCCATACTGATATGGCTGCATAACAGCAAGTGTAGTGCTTCGTTGCACGCCATTTCATGCTCACCTGCCAAAAAGCGGGGCAAGTCTGCCCCTAAAAGTGCACCAGGTTATACATCACCACTTCAACAGCAGACTGTTTTGGGAAACCCGATTTACAGCAGGCCGTGCCTTCCCAGCCTGAATCGTCAAACTTGCCAGTCATTACAAGGCGGGGCAACCATATGCATTCCATGTTTTCTTTTCTTTTTCAGGACCATTCCTCGATTCATTTGTGTCATCCTCGCACACGGGCCATGAAAAATATTCTATGTATATTGTTCCAATTTGCACATATGTCCTGAAGAACTGCATTCAGTTTGCAACTTCGCACCACGTGGTTTTTCGCCAGACTTCTTTTTTTTCGTAATGCTTTTGCCTAACACGGTGAACCCTACTCGATATTCATGATTTTTTTTTTTAATTTCTTCTGTGAAATGGGGTGAGAATTAACAATCAATGAAGTCAGGGCACTCAAAATTTTGTGTGCCCCCCTCCTGTGCCCATCGCATACAGTGGGCCGAACCCGACTGTTGCCACCAGTGTCACCAGGCCCACAGCGGACTAGTGTTTTTTAGTTGCTAAAGCTCGCATCAAATGTTGCGCTGCATGATCATCTCTGAGAATAAGGTTTTCTTTCTTTTGGTCTCCTGCATGAGATGAACATACCATAATGACCTCCACACCAAGCAAGTTGCAAACTTCCCCAAAGTGGATGACGACACAGTAAGTAGACCTGCAACCATTCCAAGCAAATTGCAAAAGAGAGGAGCACCACCAGTACAATAGGGGAAAGACACCGTCAGAAACTTGAGCATCCAGAAACATCAACAGCAAGAAAGAACAAGTGGTTTGTCTGACGAAAGCAAAGTCTCATCTCCCTTACCGTGGTGAAAGGGACATCAAGTGTGGGCCCCGGCTCGGGGCACCGTTAGAAACTTGAGCATTCAGAAACATCAATAGCAAGAAAGAATGAGTGGTTTGTTTGTTTATCAATCATTTTTCTAGATTTGTTCCTCGATCTGCATCAAGGACCCGGCAAACACGGACACTGTCTTTCAACTACCAGCCAAACTATCATCACCCAAACTTTTCACCATTCAAATTGCCACATTCAGCTAAAGCCCACCAAATGCTTTAAACAACTCCTGCAGCCTGATAACCACAACAGCCCCTCTTTCTGGCATTCAAAAGATCCTATAAGCTCCCGACTCCAGCAATGTACGCTTGCTACACGCCTCCCCCCACTTCTACACCCACTCCTCCTACCCAAACTTACCAACTCAAACAGTAGCCATGCAACAGCATCACCAGATGCCATGCATGCATTTGCTGCACATTTTCTCCCCCTACTCTGCACCCTGGGCCCCTCTCTTAACTCCAGCTAACCGGACGAATGATGCCACCACCAGAGGCCACGCATGATAACCAGACACTCAGAAGCGAATCCAAAATTCACCGACTTCAGCTGAGGACGTTGTTCAGCTAGGTGTGTGCTGCACATTCCTCCCGAACACCCTCCTGAATACATGAATGATAAACAATAGTGCAAGACAGAAAGAATGGGAAAACCAGCAAGGTGGGTCTGGTATTGTTGCCTGCCAGGTAACCATCTTGTTCTGCTAGCCGGCGTCACTCAGAATATAATACAGTAGCTCACAAAATTGGAATGTTTTCTACGCAAACACAGTACTGACAAGAAATGGAAGTAGTGCCTTTTTTTTTTAAGGAGGTAACAATGAGTGCCACAATCAGTCGGACATTCGCATGCACACAGTAGTCTGTTGCGGCATGACTCAGAACATAATACAGCGAAGCATTCAAAGACTGTAAGCAGCTCACAAAACTGAGTGTTTCTAAGAAAACACCGAGTCCTGCCAAGAAACGGAAGCAAGGTTTTTTCTTCAAGGAGATAACGGTGACTGCAGAACTCAGCAAGATGTTCCCATGCACACAGTCCTCTACTAGGCGGGATAACTCGGAACATAATACAGTGAATCATTCGAAGATTCTAAGCAGCTTACAAAATTGGAATGTTTCGTCAGTAAACACAGGGTCCTGAAAGAAACGGAAGCAAGGCCTTTTCTTAAGCACATAACAAGGACTGGAGTAGCCAGTTGGACATTCCCATGCACACAGTAGAGAGAAACTGGACGCACCCTTACACATCATAGTCAGTCACTCACTCGTTCCCTTCCGTCCTCTCTATCCATACATGTCCCTAGCATATGTGGCAACATATGACCAATTGCATTGAACTTAGCAACAATTATCTCCAGGACTACAAAGATTGTTTGCACACATCTCACAGCATCAAAGAGAAGAGGTACTCAACCTCCACCCCAAAACTAAGGGAATAAAATGCGAAAGCAAACTCCACACGTCTTGCATTCTCCAAAGATGAATCATCAATCCCCCAGCATCACCCCCCGTCTCTCTCTCTCTCTCTCTCTCTCTCTCTCTCTCTCCCTACCTACCTACCTACCTATATATCGTCATATGTGTATATATACATACCTATATATATATATATATAAAATTCGCTCTTACACTGGCACTTGCAACATGACATCAGCAACTGGAGCAACACGCAAAGTTACAGAGCTGTCTCACTAGCAAGCAAGATCATGTTGCAGGAAGCAACCGCCCTGATGACTAAACCAACGAATCTAACAACTCCAAAGGAGAATGTTACAAAAGTAAGGACTCCAAAGGAGAATGTTAGAAAAGTAAGGACTGTTCAGCACCCAATGGGTGCTGCACCTGCAACTTACGAAAACTCGTATACAAGAAGCATCCTCGCGCTTTCCCAGGAGATGAGCAAATGACAAAACCAGTCAATGCATCCCTTTCAACATATTCCTTCCTTCTGGGAGGAAAGGAAACAAACAGAATTGTTTCCCGTTGTGCTCCTCATATCATTCCTACCTCTTCAATACCACAAATCCCTGTCACATCCCTAGCCACCCACGTAGAAAGGCATCCTCCCCTCATTGCCGTTCTAATCACTTCCTCCCCATTTCCCCCATGTCACTACACATTTGTAAACTGTGAGGCTTTTCATACACTTCTTCCACAGGATATCTGGGACAGCAGCTACTTACTACCTGTCGTTGTTGTACATCTTTACACTCTTCACCACCTCCACGGCCCTCCAGGCAACAGTACACAAAGGAATTGCTTTGTCATTCCCCTTCTCTCCTTCGGAGAGAGCCCCAAACTCTCACTTCCCTGTCTTTGAGAACGCTTTTGTCAACTCCCCGAATCCCCAACAAACAGTCATAAACCAGTGCAATCGCCAGCGGGCTTTACAACTCATTCTCCTCCTCGCAGGGCTTCCTTAAATATGGTAACGCCTTCCCCTCAAGACCCATGCCACAGTTCATTGAGGGTTCTTCTCGCGCTGCTACACTGTTTTCTTGTCCTCAATTCTATTTATCACACAATTCTTCACGGAGACACTAAGCAAGGACCATTTTGCTCTTCCTTTGGCACTGCTATTCCTATCGATTCCTCGCCCCCCCCCGTAACTCCCACTTCACCATCCACAACCATCTCCTTAGCGGCGATTTCACGTGTTCCTTCTGTAACCAGCCGCTCTGGTTCTGCAACCACGCTTCCTTCCGATGCTGCGACAGCTTTTCCATGCAGTTCCACTTGACCCAACCACTCCTCTGCAGCAGCAGCATTTCCTTCATTTGTTTTCTCCGCGGCATCACAATCGCTCTCTCGTTCAGCATCCTTTCCATCCTTCTCGGCTGTGCTGTTCCCCATGTTCCCATCCTGCCTAACATCTTCATCCTGGGCAATTTCCTTCTTCGACTTACCGTTCGCATCCGCAGTACACTCTATGGCCTGTTCCACGTTCTGATCCCCCTTCCCTTCGAAAGACTTTGCTACTTCCCTCTTGTCAGGCGCATGCCCTGGGCTTCCTTCTCCACGATCGACATCTCCCCCTTCATCATCAAGTTCCATTGGCGTTGCTGCCTGCCCCGTTCCAGTTGATCCTTTATCTTTATCGGCAACATCTCGTTCGGCAAAGGCATCTTCCGAGCTGCCAGCCACATTGCCGGCAAATGCCACTGGGGGTTCACCAGCGCCGTCACCAACGCATGCCGGCACAGTAGATGCAGGGTTGACTGGCTCCCTGCTCAACCCAACTGGCGATGACGTGAACGGCGTCCGGGGCGTCTGCTGATGGTCTGGCTCGATGTCCGAGAATTTCGACGTTGCCCAAGGTGCCACTCCTACGACAGCTGGGCTGACCTTAGGCAGTTCCACTCTGAGAGACGACACAGCGTCCAGAGGAGCGCTCCTAGCATGTCCGCACTTCAAGCACTCAAGTTGATACCGATCACCGTAGCCCACATGAATAATGTCCTTGACGGCCATCTGCTTCTCTCCGCACAGCTTGCACCGTGCATCCGTCATCTGGAAAGTCTCGGGCTCTTCTGGCTCATGCAGTTCTTTCTCCGTCACCGTGTATCCATCCTTGAGCTCTGTGGGTGACATATGCAGCACTGCCGCAGAATCCAGCTCCCCAGTTATAACGCGCCGCGAAAGCACCTGGCCGTTACGTAGATTGTATTCCAAAGATCGCATCTTGAGGTTGTACTTTTTGGGATCGGCACCAAGCTGCCGGTGAGCCTCTTCTTCCAGTTTGCATATCATGCACACTGTGCGCTCGACAGCCGTGGCAAGACTTTCCGACTTTTCTTTCTCTTCCACACAGCCTTGCCCGTCCTTTTCGCAGTGATCATACCCCTTCACATCCTCCTCTTGCCGCTGGCCGTCTCTTTGGCATTTACCATTGGCTCCTCCCCCTTCCTCCTCTTGTTCTCCGCCATCAATTTCGCCGCCTGCTATCTCACTGTTGACTGGCAATGACCCTTCCATTCCTGCACCTCCTCCTTGAGACGGCGTCGAGGGTCCCATGGCAGGTTCAAAAGCTGCTGCATCTGTTTCCCTCCGGTTGTTGTCACCCTCCGGAGCACCTGCCGAACCCACCGGTGTCTGTCCTCCGGAACCGGTAGAATGTAGTGCTCCCGCAGCAGAAGACTCGTCCATTGGCGGCCCTTTCACATCCCGAATGTGCTTTTTCACAGCCTGAAGCAACTTTTCCATCCATATATCTCTGGCCTTCACACCTGTCTTGCTTCTTCTTGTTGACCGGAAAAGCGATTCGAGCTCGCTTTCCTCGTCCACATTCGCCCCTAGGGTTCCCCCCTTCCCTTCAACATCAAACGCTCCTCCGACCTCCACCGTCAGATCGCCTCCTTTTCCTCCACTTTTCTTGCTCCCTGCGCCCTCCTTTTCCTCCGATCCAGCTTTCTCCTTACTGTTCTCGACACTCGCTCCCCCTACCTGTGGTTCAGCCTTATTCGCAACAGGTTCTTTCTTCCCTACAAGTCTCACCTCCGGCGCATCGATGGACTCGAAAACTCTCTTGCCATCCTTCCGCAACCGCCCTCCACCCCCTTGCTTTCTCGCCGCAGGCGCCGCGGTTTCGTTCGCATTTCCTCCATTGTGCCTACTATCCCTCTCCGCCCCAACCGAATCGCTCATCTCCACGCACTCCCCAAAGTACTGTCTTGTCCGATCAATCAGCTCGTCAATCTCCCTCTGCTGGGCATCCTTGAAATCCCGATCGCTCACACTCCACACTTTCTTGTCCACAGGGTCGTACACCCCTCGACAGAGAAAACCCGGCTGGACATTTGCAATTGGGGCCTGTTTGCCAGGCGGTATGAAATGGATAACGCACTTGTGCATCACAGCTTCCGCGGGGACAATGTCTTTGTGAAAACTGTAGAAAAGTTCCCTCGGGTCTTTTCCCTTGTACTTTCCACCTCCCTTTTTCTCCGTCTCTTCGGGTCGATAGAACCACTGACCGGTGATCTTCACCGCGCCATCCTTTCCCTGCCATATTTCCTTCACTACTGACACGTACGGTTTCTCCTCGTTCTTCGATTGCTGGACCATCACAAAGTCCTCCAAGTTGTATCGAACACCCTCCAACTCAAAAGCTTCAAAAAACTTCTTCTCCGATTTCCCACGCCCCGTTTTCTTCACCGGTGGCCCGATCACTTCGGCTTGTGGCTCATCTTCGTCCTCCTCCTCCTCCTCCTCCTCCTCATCCTCCTCATCCCTCGTATCGCCTTCGCTCTCCACGGGGATGTCATCATACCTTGCTTCGCCAACCTCCACTTTTCCTCTCCTCCTCCTTCCCCTCGTGGGTGCCATCTCGCGTTCCAAACCACCTTCGCCTCGCGGGGCCAACTTCTCTGTCTTTAGATGGATATGATTAAGGCAGCCGTCTGGATCGTGATGAACCAGCCGCCGCAATCCACGATCACGACAACCAAGGAAAACCAAAAGCAAAGAGGACCTCCGATGCGATGGCGCTGAGCGCTCGCGGCTCGCGGCGCTACGTTAGTCACGTTTAGGGTTTCGGGGGCGGATCTCGCCCGCCATGTCCCGGGACGTTCAAGCACGGGAAAGGCGGTTGTCTTCCAGCAGGAAGGGCGGTATGATATCACCCTTTGCACGTGAGGATCTGGGTTTGTGCCCTGGGGATGGGCAGCTTGTGGCACAGGGCGAGGAGTGTTCTCTTTCCTTTCTTTCTTTTCTAGAGAAAATGTCAAATCAATTAACAGCTGGGAATCGGGCCCAGGGTCCCTACAACAATTGCTGCGGCTGTGGGGATGAGCAAGCCATCACCGGCCAACCTTGTCCCTGGCCACAGAGTGAAAAAGCACGTTGAAAGGCACGCGGAAAAGAGAAGGGAACAAGGAAATAGCAAAACAAAACAACGAAAAAGCCTAGACACGCATTCAATCTACATGAAGACAGATCACAGGAACTAGATAATCTGTTGCGGCTCCGCCCGCAAGGAGATTTCGCAAACAAAGCACACACATGAGGCGTGTGGTGGCCTGAGTGCAGTTGGTTAGCAACTGGCCTGTTCTGTCCAAAATACTTTCACACCAATAACCTTCTCAGCATCTCTCTCCCTTGGTGTGTAAGAAGTATTCTCTTCCAGACGTCAGAAAATACGCAATTCCTCGCACTTGAGAGAAAAAGATCTTTCCAATTCGTTTTCCTCTTAATGCGTATAACGATAAAAGCAAGCCAATCATAAACGACCACTCTCTCTCTCTCTCTCTCTCTCTCTCTCTCTCTCTCTCTCTCTCT